GACAGATATGTAAATTTTTTATACAAAACCCATGATATATTTATTAACAAATATATTTCATGTACGCGACACGTGCTATAACTGTGAATATGCATGCAGTGTTTGAATCACGGCAAATTTTCCGTAGTGGATTTCCCTTTGAAAACTCTCCTGGTGTTTGTCCAGCCAGCAGATGCGGAACCTGTCTTTATCGCAGTGCATCACTCTCATATCCAGTCGAAGCAGCAGGCGTGGTAGTAGACGGTAGTAGTTGTACTTCTGGGTCTGCCATGGCCAACCAGGTTCCACGTGGCAGTTGGGGTGCGTTGCTGTCAGAAATGATGGTTTCGCGATTTATTTTCTGGGGTCCCTGTAGGTATTAAGATTTTTCTGACTGTTGGTGCAGTCTGCACATGTTTCAGTTTCCCGCTCCCTTGTTTCTCTCTTTCCACTGACATGGCCGTCGTGAAGGTGTCTCCAGGCTATGTCTCCGTTTGGTATCAGCAGGGATGGCCACATGCGTCGAGTTCCAAGAGCGTTCTCTTTCGCGACAGGTTGTTGCAGACCTTAATTTTCGTGGGTGAGTTTCCTCAGCATCAGTGAAATCATAATCGTGTCTGCTTATCTTTCGTGGTGTCCGTCCTTCCCACTTTTTGGTTACGTTGCCTTCGCTCTTTGAATATTAGCTGTGGGTCTTCGTATGTGGTTGTTGTAGATGCATGTACTCTGAAATTTGTTATGTCTTTCCATTTACACATCCCTTCAGGAGGTCCTTTATGCGTTATAGATCCTTTTACCGGGGGTCGAAAAGTAAATTGTTGCCATGGTTACGGGGGTTAAACATTTATGAGTTCCAGAATGAGACCCCGTCGCTGTTCAGGTATTTCTGTGAGGTTGAGAATTGGCGTCGGACTTCCTGTGAACCAAATTTTCAGTGCGTTGACGTAGAATTGTGTCAGTATCTCTGAGATGATAATGTTGCGTCATATTGTGATGAATTATAGTATCTCTGTTTGTGCCATGTTAAGTTAACCGTTAATACGTAAGGTAGTACATTTGCGTCATATTGTGAATTAAGTTAATGTTTTAATATTTCCCGTCAAATCACAATTTTTAATAAGATGATAAAATATAAATTATTTAAAATATCATTTCATTTCACGTTCCGCATCGAATGATCGATTTACAAATTGGAACGTTTCTTAAAAACATTAAAACATTAACGTTAATACGTACTTAAAACTCCGAATCTGTGTCTCAAGAGCTTCTATATTCGGAGATGCAAGGTTTGTCCTCTTTCTACTTCAGAGGGGGAGTCAGTCATAAAGCAGCGACCTGGGTGGGGAGATGCAATCGCGGATTCTGCCATCTGCCGTGGGTGCGTGGAGTGTCGTCCGTTAAGTATAAAGTTGACGGACATGTGGGAGTCAGAACCATTCGGTGGTGGTAAACGTTAAAGTCTCGGTTCAGTCTAGGCACAACTGTTTGATTTAGGACGCTTTCTCTCCTTTATAGGAGGTGCTATGTATGGGGCATATCTCCGTTGTGTCCCCAAAAAAGAGTGTTTTGTCGGGTAGAAATTGAAGAGAACGCAAGGGTGTGCTCAGATTGGTTACCGTGAAGATGTTGTGGGGAAACTAAAGAGAGTTGATGAGATAACAGAAAATAATAGTAAAAATGATATGCTTTATTTACAAGTATATCAAATCTAAAACTTCTTGACGATGGTGAAGAGTCAATTGAATAAAAATTTACTTGGATATTATCCATCGTCTAGTAATAAAACGTAAAAAACGTAAAACGACATTTCGGAGATGGGGCTCTATCTCCGTCTTCAGGTTCCTACACAGTTGGGCCCACTAGATAGAGCTAATCCCTATCTCCGAAACGTCGTTTTACGTTTTTTACGTTTTATTACTAGACGATGGATAATATCCAAGTAAATTTTTATTCAATTTATTTACAAGGATTAATCTTCCGCTGTTTTCCGTTCACATAGTTGCAGGAAAATCTCGTCGGTATGAAAATGGGAGCACAATGAAAATACTGCAGATTAACGATAGACGTTTCTGTGCAGAACAAATTCCAAGGGTAACAATACTTTTTACCTTCTGCAGTCTTTCACTTCTGATTTACCGGAATTTTGCTGGATGTTATTTTAAATGAGGAATCCTTTTGATACTTTATAGAGCACGTACGACAACTGCACAATGTCTGAATGAGTGGTGTAGAGGGGAATTTAAAATGAGCATAAAACGTTTCACAAATATTAGTCGTCTGATAAGACCTGATACTTATCACCATCCACGTAGTTACAGGAAAATTAGCATGAATTTACAATCAACAAAGTAATTTTAAAAAGCGACAAGTCAGTTAACAGTAGTGACATGGACTGGGCTGTAGAAGTGGCAGTCCGACAAACTGCAGTCACTGCCCAATTTTCGATTCCTATCGCTTGTAGCCAGAAGCTAACTTGCGTTTTAGACTTTACGCCAACTTGGTTGGCATAAATGGAGCATACAACCTTTCACTGCGTGTGCTGGTCACACTACTTTGACTCCATGGTCCATACCGGTCTCTAAATCGGCGTGAATGAGTTGTGGGCACAAACATGTTTCGCTTAAGTTTACATAATTGTTGGCCAAGCTTCCGAATGCATTGGCATGTCTTTCAATAAAAACTACGCGATATGTAAATAATAATTTTTTTAGGAATTGGTTTGCAAATAATTGGAAAAAACGTGGGGCCAAAAAAAGTTTCATCTACTTGAACTATTGCCAAGGAAAGTTGAACTTCAAGACTGACGCTGATACACGTAAGCATAATAATTTTTGTATCTTAGTCGTTGGCTGAAGAAGAATCTTTGTCGCGTGACGTCGTAACTTTACATAACACTTCTGTGTTGTTTGTTGACCGCTGAATTCACTTTGGAGGGGGGTGTAGGAGGGAGCGACCCAATAGGGCAGAATTGCCGCGGCAACCAGTCGGTAATCCTCCCATATATGGACCTTTTTCACTGCTGAGGATTATCTCGGGTTCTTCTCCTGGTATTCATGTGCAATCCATAAATGTATTCCTAAAAATCTATGTCCTAAGGGCGACCATTATAAATCTAAAGATTGATCCTGTCTGAAGATGGCTGCCTTCTGGGTTGTTCCGCCGTGTAGTTTCGTAGACGTTTCAGATCGCCCTGATGATGGAGGCAACGTGGACCTCTGAAACGTCGATGGATATCTACCAGACTACACGGCGCAGCGACCCAGAAGACAGCCATCTTCAGACTTACCGCCGTGTAAGCCTCAAATCCTATATGATCTTGTCTGGTTCTACACGTGTCCCCCGGATTTTGCTTCATATACAAGATACTTCTTTATAAACCGCGAGAAACCTTCATCTTTAGTATCCAAGGCTGTGACGTCGCTTATGCGATAGTGACCGGGGGCAAACTGCAATGTCCTGGTACTTAAAGTTTATGCATCTTAGATCAGAGGTGACTCATCTTGAGAAATAGTTCCATGGCATGATCACAGAGTGGTCCACTGAAGGCGATTCTTTCCCTCAGGCTTTTGTCACTATAAAAAGTGCCTTTCGGCGTGCTTCCTTCTATGATCAGTTTTGTGCACCGGCTTATAAGGTTTTAATTTCGGATGTACAGCTGGATTATAAGAACCAGACATAAATACATGATCTTGAAGAGCCAGATAATGTTCGTGAGTGTTACATAGAATTAATGTTAGTCGTGTCAGTGTGGATCCCCTTGTTTGCTTTCTTTATTGCTGTTCTTACATCGTGTAAAGGGAATGAAGTGTCACTAAACATTTGAGAACTCTCATCTGGTATAAACCTGCCTGTAAATATATCTCCTCTTATCAGGACTTACTTTCTTACAGACGTGCGTTCTGTAAGTGCGGTGTCATTTATTCTGATGTCACGGTTAAATGACATGCTGTAAATTACAATGCAGAAAATAACGTTTTGCTCCTTTCTGGTCCTTCCAACTCCGTAACTTTTGGCGTTTGGCTTCTCCGTTGTGTCTTCCAGCTTTCTTTCCAAGACTGAGGAAATTATTTTCGTCCTGTTCACTCCGGTTGTCAGCACAGCTTGTAGTTTTCGATAAATATTTATGTGACACCGCGCTTACATTACCAGTGCATTTTCTGATGTCTGGGGGGATCTCCCCTGCTTCTGGATTCATGATCGTCTCGGCCGCTCTAAAAGTCACGACTCTTCCGTTATTTATCTCGTAATTAATCAATTCAGTCATTCTTTAATTTATTATAATAAATCAGTGACGTTAGTGTTCCGTAATTTGCATGTCCATTTCCTGTCATTAATATTCACGTACTAATTACAAAATATATATAAAAACACCGCCTCAAAGTACTTGGCTTATGTTGTAACGTGTGGATGGACAGGTGGACAGACACATCGACACAGACGCACGTCATTATCGTCCCACCTCACGAATTTAAATATCCGTCCGTTCTAATTACTGGTTATAAGATTTTACATAAGTCTGCAATCATATGTGGCCTTAGCAGATAAGTGAACTTTGTGAGGTATACTTTGCGGAAATCTACAGTAGGAGTGTACGTAATGACCACCATAGCAGAAGAATTAACTTTCCGGTAAATAATTGTTTCAAAGTACCTATTTACTGACGAATAGCTTGTATTTTCCGTCACCCTTGGCGGCCGTGCACAGTTTATTTGCACACATTTGCGCATGGTGTAGCAGGTCGTTTACACTGTTCTCGTGCGTCAATTTGCGATGAGGCAGCGTTCTGCATAAACAGCCTATTGCAAACATCGCCTTGAATTGGGATTTCATTCCGTATGTAGATCAACTTTTACCTGACCCGGAAGACAACCATCTTCTGACACCTTGACCCTGTAATCAGCTGCAGCAAATTAGGTACGCGACGCTTCGGTCTGGACACCAGATGTGCCCGAGTCTTCAGGCCGAATCACTAAACTGATATTCCTATTGGTAAGGGCACTTATATTACACCTTCATTTCAGTTCTGCTAGAGACTTGAACGCATGGAAGAGTGAGTCTAAAGATTACGCGCCCTGATGATGGAGGCGGCAAGGACCTCTGACACGTCGGTAAACATCTACCAGACTACACGGCGCAAAGACCCAGAAGACAGAAATCTTCTGACTCTCCGTCGTGGAAATAATTCGCGAAGACGTAGCCTGTGCAGTTCAGATTCACTAGTCTGAAGACAGAGTCCAGTAGCGGTTTCTTCTGAGCACAATAATAAGCCCTCGAATTCCAGAAGACCGGACCTTTTAGCGACTTCCAGCTGTACGGCGTTAGTAAGAGAGAGATTAACGAATCCACAGCAATTAAACATTTTGGTTGCATGATTGGCAACACTACATAGAACTTACCATGTTGTAACTTAAGGACAGACATTTATATTTTGCGAGCAAAGTTTAGTTGTCCGTCTCAGCTGAGTTAAAATGGCGTAAAGGTGACTATTCCACTACAAGTCTGCATCAAGGACAAGCAACATACGCCGTGCGGGTATTTTTTCTCCCTTGAACGAATCAAAAGGGCAGAGGTCCATCGGCAATTGGCTGCCAAGTATGAACATAATATTTGTGTTCTAGTGGAATGAAATGTTCAAAAGCAGTGTAGACAGGTAAGGACGTCCATCAACATCCACAGACAAGCAAAGTGTGGATCGTTTTCAAGCAATGATTCTCCGAAGCTGCAAGGAAAAATAATGGGCAAAGCTTTCGGCGCGTGACCGATAACAACGCGGTTCGTAACGTTCGCAACTCCTCTCTGAAAATATTTGTCTCAGGTTCGATTTCTGGACACCAGTTCGATTCATGCAGTCGAATTCATAGTGAAATGCGGTTTTGATTACTAGTAGAATTATTATAAATCTCCTAGAATTGTGTCATTACACGCACGCCAAGTTTCTGTTGATACCAATAATTTACAAAAATGGGCATTATGTTGCTCGTCCTTGGTGTAGGCCTCCAGTTGAACAGTCAAATATACGCCACACTCACTCGGCACAAATGTATTACAGCTTAACCACACTCGCAGATTGTCACTGTATGACCTTGAGATACAGTATGACTAGGTACCAGCAGTGTTGCCATTCATACAACGAAAATAGTCCAACATTCCAGATATTTTTTTTTATTCTCCTTCGTATTTAGCTGACATAATCTCACATCTCATCAATGGCTTTGAAGGCAGCGTTTTACTGTTGATAACGAGCCAGAAGATTATGACTGGTCACGTATGTTCTGTAGTAGTCAATGAGACAAATATGTACAGAGTTTTCTGGGAGAAAAAGACAGATATAATGTTGTGTAACCTTCATTACCCTAGTGATAACTTTTACTTGTCTTGAAGCTTTCAGACTCTACAAAAAGTCAAAGTGATTTACGTTCATTTCATAATTAATTTGTTAATTACGTTCGTAAAGAATATGATTTGTAGATAACAGACATTGGCATGCAGCCATATTAACAGAAATTCTAGCTCATTATTTATTCAGTCACATGGAAAGAGGCCCTCTGGGGCTTCAAACGTCATATGAAAGAGGTATGTAGAACGGGCTTCAGGGGGCTCACGTCCTGTCTTGAGGCAAATAAAATTTGGCTATACATAGGACTGTTTTGATTTGTGCGCATATCTCAGTCGGAACTCTAGAGATAGAATCCTAAAATAAAATTAAAATAGAAACATTTGTAGGAAGGTGATTTAAAGGTTGCCCACAGTCTTTTATTTCTTTGAAAGGTTCGCAATTTAACTTCGCTAATCTGACGTCTCTCAGAATCAGATAATAATTTCAAGGCCACTGTTTTTATACTTTTACTGACATCGCAGTTTAGCAAGTGGAAAATCCTTCAAAGCATCGAACTATGTGGTAAGCATTTTCTCGCCTCCCAAAGAATTTGTTTCAGTGGACGATGAAAGACTTTTGGAGGAGGCTGAAGATTTACTGAAAGTGGTTCCTGATGACCTTTTTCAACTTTAGCAGAAGAGTTGTTGCCTTTATAGTCTCGCATGAAAAGTGATATTCTGTAGGAAATCTCGCTCCGATAATCATGTAATTTTGTGTGGATTTCCTGATATTTTGAGAGCTTTATATCTCTTTGTCTCCTACCCCAACTGCAGCATTGTATTAAATGTAATTTTCAAAGTTTAAATTCATTATAAACTCATGACTGCCATATTACTTCAATTGCTGTCGTCTCTGGCCTTAGCTTTTATCGAAAGGGAAAGAACAATGGAAATCTCAGCTGAAATAAACACTCTTAAGCTACTTACATCTACGACAAACTGATCTTTGCTGCTTATGTCTTATTTCTATTGCATGTGTATTATTTTTTTATAACTAATGTCCACGCGTCTTTGCCAGTTGAACAGCTTTGAAATGTCAAGAAATTGCTACATTGCTCAATAAATTACACGTGAAAGGTTTTTACAGTTTTATTAATTAATTAGCGACGGTTTCTCGTTTCTAGTGTTTTTTTAACGTTGGCGTTTTGGTTGAGTTGATGTCATGACATGACCCTATGGGTTGTAATCCTGTAGATGGTACTAACCTATAAGCGTGCATTATAATATGAAATGTATTTAGTTGGCTCGGGAAAACATTCAGCGGTGACGTCTTTGTTATTATTGTGATTATTAAGTATTACCTTTGAACTTCAGCCCATTATCTGCACTAAAAGGAGAAATAAATGTGATAATACAGTTAAGTTCAATAGCAGTTTGATATTCTGTTATCCGTTCTGGTTTCCACAGCTCTCACTACTCTGATTCTTTCTTCTTGTAATGTGTGTATCTTGCCAGATAATTTCTTCAAGTATCAACGTAATTGCGTTGTTAAACCCACAGACCTGTTCTAACATTAGACGACGACGACCTTTCAAGTGAAGAAGTTATGAGACGTTCAGAATTAAGAAGGGATTGTTCATCGCTGTTTAAAGGTACTACTGTTCTAGCATTTGCTAAAACAGACAGAGAAAATTCAAGCAAATCTTAGTCGTGATAGCTGTTAAATGTGCGTGCGGAGATTCAAATATGGCACCTCCAGAACAGAATTCTCGAGTGAAATAGTTCTTTATTCTGCTCGATTAACGTGAAACTGGAGATAAATTCAATAAGTTCTTCAGCCGCAACACAGAGTAGAAGAAAACGCTTTCCACTTCGCGTACCAAACTAAAGAAACTTTTAAGAACCCGAGAAGGAACGTGAAATGGTTTCAGCCTCACTCTGATATTGCCCCGTCCACAAAATCTCGGGCACGCTTACACTGTTGATCGTTAGGCGCAAGATGCCTGTCTTAAAGCATCTCCCGTCTTAATGCCCACTTGGCCTTCCTTGATATTACAAACGAGACCCTGGATATGGTCATTTCGTATATTTTGAATTAAGTGTCAGTTATAAGAAACAGGTGACTTAATTTTAAGTACAGGGGAACTTCTTTTTTTATTTACTCGATATGCGAGTAAACGTTGTAGTTTAGTCGACTAAGATGTTATCAGTCATTAGCCGTTCAGTCAGTCGTCATCACTGTTATAGATGATATTAAAAGATTTCTGTCTTCTGGGTTATTGCGCCGTGTAGACTGGTCGATGTTAACCAACGTTTCAGAGGTCATACTGCCTTCGTCATCAGGGTGATGAATTCATTCACAATCATCGCCCTGATGATGAAGGCAGCAAGGATCTCCGAAACGTCGGTAAACTTCTACCAGACTACATGGCGCAACAACCCAGACTCACCGCTGTGAAAACCTCAAATCCTAGAAGATGATGTTTTTTTTCTTGTATTCAAAAGAATAATTGGTTGTCGGAATGAAGCAATGTCCTATGGCATATATCAGTTAAAATAGTTGAGAATTTATTTAAAACTGTGGCAGCATAGGTTGTGTGACTAGACTGTTGAGCTTTGGTAGGAATGTGATCAATAAAATTAGGAACCACACGGCAAGTATATAAATCTCCGCGACAAGGGACTTATGACAGAAGACCACATAAGAGCTGGGCCAACTTCAGCAACAGCTTCAAGCTTATGCCGTCTTAACAACACCTTATTTTCTCAGTCCATCGTTTATATTGGCCTTAAAATTATAATTTGTTTTCCTTCGTGTACTACATTTCAAAACACTTTTTCACAAGATTTTCTTGTATTCTTACAATATTACACCATTTATTTCAGCAATAAGAAAATTTCTGTGTAATATTAATATCCTGTAATACGTAAGCCGTAAATCATAGTACGTAATGTTTTAATATGAGTTATTTATGTCTAAAAAGGAATTTTTGTAAGTATTGCCATACCCAAATGTTACTCGTCCTTTTACGTAGTAGCGTAGTTCCTGCTGCTGATCTCAGAAAACGCATTCCAGCATCTTCAATCCTCTTATTCTCTTTCCAAGTCCTGACCTCTGACCCCCATAAAGTTACAGGTTGTAACATTATCTTACATAATATTCCTTGGTTGTACTTATGTTTTATTTTCATGTTATATTCATTGTGTCACTGCTACTCGTGGATTTTATTAACATAGTGCGTGTATCCTTGGTTTCAAAATATGTACTTCCCCATGTAATTAAAATCAACTTTAATCAGTTATGACTCAGGATTTATTCTTTTTAGAAATATTAATCCAATTAAAATAAGTATAATTACTTCCCAAACAAAAGGTTTCATGAATAATTTACAATCCAGCGTTAATCTGCATTTATCTTGTGGTTATCTGCACAAAATATGTACTTTGAATGGCTCTATCTGTGACAATTCCGAGAACTGCATCAACGTAAGATAATTCTCAGTTCACGGCATCGGTTTAACGGCTTATTTTATGCAGATGAGCAACGAAAGGAATTTGAGTAAATTTCGACTTTTAATTATGACAGAAGGATAAAAAATTAAGTTTGGGCCCATCTACACCGAAGATTTTATTTGCAAATCGCTAAACTCAACCGACATTACAGGTTACATCGTTGAGATTTTCAGGTTCTCTGATGTTATTTTCCAGGTCATGACTCAGTGTGAGCTCGTAGATAGATACCGACGTTTCGGAGAAACATACTGTCTCTACTTCAGCCATGAAGATGGAGATAGTTTCATCGAAACATTTGTGTATGCACACAAATGTACACGGTAACAGAGCCCAGAAAAACAACTTTCATAACAGAGAATCACGAAGAATATAATTGTAGCACGTGCTCAATAATTCCAAGCCCCCCCCAAACGTTGTACTTTTGCTAACATCATTTTGTGTCCGAGCACCTACAGTAGTTTGAAAATTGTCCTATAAACAGAGCTAGGCGCTTATCACCCGAGAGGATTTTAATCATCGTCAAAGACTACGTTAAAGTTTCAGGTAACAGAGTTGTTACAGATTACCGGAACATTCTTGACAGTTTGTTTCAGACAAAGCTAGCCACTAATGAGAATTTCACGACACGAACGAGAATATTGACAATTACTTTTGAGGTTCTGAACCGGGACACTGCGGACACCCCAAGACGACAATGTCTTGCCCGACATTGCTCGACATTCGAACCAAAACTGATTTTTAGCGCTGATGTCATGGGCTGTAAAGACACTTCTTCTTGACATGTCCAGTAGACTTCAGTCTCGGGTCCATGAACGCCGTCAGTTCTGATGAGACTTCGTCTAGCTGATGGTAATTAATGACAGCTGATGACCTTTGTCGGTGCTGAGCCCATGCAAACATCAGTACACCTGAACGGGGCATTGAATTGAGTCTTCAAAAGCAAGTCCGCACTTCCATGTTCTTTAAGTAGAAGCTGAGAGCTGAGTCCCTGTATCGACTGGCTACGGGAGATGATGTTTTTTTTCTTGTATTCAAAAGAATAATTGGTTGTCGGAATGAAGCAATGTCCTATGGCATATATCAGTTAAAATAGTTGAGAATTTATTTAAAACTGTGGCAGCATAGGTTGTGTGACTAGACTGTTGAGCTTTGGTAGGAATGTGATCAATAAAATTAGGAACCACACGGCAAGTATATAAATCTCCGCGACAAGGGACTTATGACAGAAGACCACATAAGAGCTGGGCCAACTTCAGCAACAGCTTCAAGCTTATGCCGTCTTAACAACACCTTATTTTCTCAGTCCATCGTTTATATTGGCCTTAAAATTATAATTTGTTTTCCTTCGTGTACTACATTTCAAAACACTTTTTCACAAGATTTTCTTGTATTCTTACAATATTACACCATTTATTTCAGCAATAAGAAAATTTCTGTGTAATATTAATATCCTGTAATACGTAAGCCGTAAATCATAGTACGTAATGTTTTAATATGAGTTATTTATGTCTAAAAAGGAATTTTTGTAAGTATTGCCATACCCAAATGTTACTCGTCCTTTTACGTAGTAGCGTAGTTCCTGCTGCTGATCTCAGAAAACGCATTCCAGCATCTTCAATCCTCTTATTCTCTTTCCAAGTCCTGACCTCTGACCCCCATAAAGTTACAGGTTGTAACATTATCTTACATAATATTCCTTGGTTGTACTTATGTTTTATTTTCATGTTATATTCATTGTGTCACTGCTACTCGTGGATTTTATTAACATAGTGCGTGTATCCTTGGTTTCAAAATATGTACTTCCCCATGTAATTAAAATCAACTTTAATCAGTTATGACTCAGGATTTATTCTTTTTAGAAATATTAATCCAATTAAAATAAGTATAATTACTTCCCAAACAAAAGGTTTCATGAATAATTTACAATCCAGCGTTAATCTGCATTTATCTTGTGGTTATCTGCACAAAATATGTACTTTGAATGGCTCTATCTGTGACAATTCCGAGAACTGCATCAACGTAAGATAATTCTCAGTTCACGGCATCGGTTTAACGGCTTATTTTATGCAGATGAGCAACGAAAGGAATTTGAGTAAATTTCGACTTTTAATTATGACAGAAGGATAAAAAATTAAGTTTGGGCCCATCTACACCGAAGATTTTATTTGCAAATCGCTAAACTCAACCGACATTACAGGTTACATCGTTGAGATTTTCAGGTTCTCTGATGTTATTTTCCAGGTCATGACTCAGTGTGAGCTCGTAGATAGATACCGACGTTTCGGAGAAACATACTGTCTCTACTTCAGCCATGAAGATGGAGATAGTTTCATCGAAACATTTGTGTATGCACACAAATGTACACGGTAACAGAGCCCAGAAAAACAACTTTCATAACAGAGAATCACGAAGAATATAATTGTAGCACGTGCTCAATAATTCCAAGCCCCCCCCAAACGTTGTACTTTTGCTAACATCATTTTGTGTCCGAGCACCTACAGTAGTTTGAAAATTGTCCTATAAACAGAGCTAGGCGCTTATCACCCGAGAGGATTTTAATCATCGTCAAAGACTACGTTAAAGTTTCAGGTAACAGAGTTGTTACAGATTACCGGAACATTCTTGACAGTTTGTTTCAGACAAAGCTAGCCACTAATGAGAATTTCACGACACGAACGAGAATATTGACAATTACTTTTGAGGTTCTGAACCGGGACACTGCGGACACCCCAAGACGACAATGTCTTGCCCGACATTGCTCGACATTCGAACCAAAACTGATTTTTAGCGCTGATGTCATGGGCTGTAAAGACACTTCTTCTTGACATGTCCAGTAGACTTCAGTCTCGGGTCCATGAACGCCGTCAGTTCTGATGAGACTTCGTCTAGCTGATGGTAATTAATGACAGCTGATGACCTTTGTCGGTGCTGAGCCCATGCAAACATCAGTACACCTGAACGGGGCATTGAATTGAGTCTTCAAAAGCAAGTCCGCACTTCCATGTTCTTTAAGTAGAAGCTGAGAGCTGAGTCCCTGTATCGACTGGCTACGGGTTGGATGAGCGGGGTTCGATTACTGGCAGAGGTAGGAATATCTCTCTTCACCGCCGCCTCTTAGCCATCCAGTCTCCATTCGGACTGGTACCTGTCGCTCTTCCCTTGGGGCTTAAACGGCTGGAGCTTGATGCTGATCACTGATCTTATTCCAGTGCTGAGGTGTAAGAATGTACGGCACTATACCTGCCCTCCATCATAGTCTTTTTTTTGAGATAATTAGACACTGGCAACGTTTAAATCTAAAGGATGTAAAAGCAGGCGTTTTTTTAAAACCTGTGTCATCTTATTAAAACGTGGTGCCATCTGTGGGCACAGCCAAGGCTCTGGCGAACAAATAATGTCGGTGCAACCACCTCGTAAGGTTGTAGAAAATTTTACTAATTACAGTGAGGTTTGGTTTGTTTACTTATGTTTGTAGTTTTAAGTTTGGAGTTGAACTGGATTTTGGTCTATTTTTTTCTAGCTCACAGTACCTACTAGTCTTGTAGGTGTTTGATAACATCCTGTCGCCTTCATCTTCAGCATCCTTGGAAACGTTGGCAATCACCATGAGGAGTACATCGCGTAGTAGACCTGAAGACCACAATGATAATTTTCACCACTTTAAAACCCGAACATCTCATTACTTTTTAGTTGTTAATTTATTAACAAACACAAATGGTCTTTGCAGTTAGGTCGACTCTAATCCCGAGAATAAAATCAACAGAATCCTCAAGTATCGTATTCGGGAAATCATCCAGTCGGAGACCCATTGAAGTAACCAGAAAGCTAAACCGCGAACCTCGATTTCCCGAACTGCTAAAATAAATTTTCCGTCCAGGTTACACAAGGCTTTTACCAGATTGTAAAAATCTCAATGCTAACTGGTCTCAAGACAAACAAATTCCGCATGGCATGTTATTAATATAATGACAGAGCTCTGTGCCATGTTTCCGTGATGTCACTAGAATATTCTGTTTTATAATTGCTTTGTTTGTTACTTATTCACGACTGCCGCTCGACACTCGGCAGCCACTTCCAGTTTCTGCGAGTCGTCCATAATTTCAATCGACGTGTGTGTGTGTGTTCAGTGACGTCGCTCTTACCAACACTAACACTAATTTAAGTCCATGCGGTGTACGTCACAGTAACCAGCACGACCACCAGTGATGATCTCTCGTACATTCTGATCCGTTATTCAAACACTAGGCCTCCATATTGGATAAACTGAAGTATTTCTTGACTGTATCCTTTTCTGGTAGTAGAGCTCACTTTAGAATAACACTCAGTGGCCTTGATTGTTTTATTAAAGTTTAGACATCTCATGCATGTTGACTGCCTGTCAGCTATTTCCTGTTCACATTATTTTCCTAACAAATGACAATGTTATTTTAGTTACTTAGTAGCTGATTAGTTTGTGTAGAGTTACAGTAGATCTTTAGTCCCGAAATAAGAGCCTTCATATACCTCTATTCCACGCATCGTACATACCTCCAGTCTCTTAAATTCTTCTGAAAGTTCCACCAGAGATCACTTAAGCACAAATGTAATTTGTTAATAAGTCTCAGATTCACTGCGCGTTACTCGCTTGTAACTTGGAACATGTATCAGTTTTGCACTGTAAAATGTCAAAATCGATGGTTAGAAGCCTCAGACCAGTCCCGAGTTAAGTCCCTGTTAGTGTAGCTTCGCTGTGTGTTAGAATATAAATGCTTTTATATTCTAGTTTGCATTAGTATCCTCCATCTTTCGAGAGTTTATGACGTATTCTCTTGCTTGTAAATGCAGTAGTGTACTGCCGAAGGCTGAAACAAGGGCCAACCGCATCTTAACTTGGTTTACTTTGTTCAATCTGTGACAGTCGAGACATGGAAGTACAAAACGTTCTTCTGTGAGTAGAAGTGTCAGCTGTTTATTGACAGTTGATGGAGTTCTGGAAATTTTACCATATCGTTACCTGAATTCAGGTGAATTTCGTGACGCTCTTTCTGAATTCATGTTGGTAATTCCAAATTATGATAGGGAATAATTAGTGCTGTTGAATGTGCTACTAACCCATCACAATATAAATAATAACTTTACACCCCCGCCACTCCTGTTCTCGTTATATTTCGTGTGTACGAAATGGCACTGCGTAATCGCAGTTGACCCAATCAAGGCATTTGATAATCAAGTCTGCTGTGGAAAGAATTCAATATCTTTGTTTCTTTTGCATCAAGTACCTCTGGAGTATGTATTTCGTGCCGTTCGTGTTCGTAAAATGTGTATCCGGCATTTCACCTCGGAGTCTTGGGTTCAAACCGAGTCCGGTCCATGTGTTGTATTTTTGACGGAGTTTTTTTATTTCTCAACACTGCGCGTATGTTGTGCCAACCGCAATTCAAAAAGGGCCGAGTGCGTATCTTTTACCACTCACGTCGCCCTCTGAGGCCTACCTTGAAGCCGCAGAGATACTCACTCACTCCTATTATTCATGTAATAAGTTATGTTACTTAAAATATGTTTGACGTGTTAAGTAACTGTCACGAATGACAGGCGTGATCGTGTTGATTATAAGCACACCAGCCGGTATTATTTTCTGTAATTATATTTATCTTTTAACAGTAATCAGTGTCATTATTTTCTCACGTCTCTTCAAATCGATTCCTGTCTTGAGGCTGCTCGATTCTAGTCTCTTTTAAGGGAAGCAAGAGTTAAAGACAGTGGTCTGCAAAGGCTTTAAGCATAAACTGTTGCTTCGAAATAATGTTGTCTCGAAATTCAAAAAAATTCTCTTAAATTTGGAAATATGTTTCCAGAACTGGTTTGGTTAGGTCCTCAAATTATCATAAATAGTTTTAGCCAAACTAACCTATCTTCCTTAATAATAGTAGGTTTGGCTACTTTTAGATAATATTAAAAGTACTGTAGTAATGATCAAATTTGGATTTATTATGTTTCTTGAAGGACGTTTTTCTTTTTTATGTAATATGTAAGTGATTTGGAACACCAGTGAAGAAAGCTCGAGCTGTTTTATTTTACAAAAGCAGTGGCTTCGTTAATAGCCTGTGAAACACTTCCAATGAAAATATAAAATGCAGAGTCAATCTGATTTTCTGTGACACAGAAATTACTGATCTCAATCAGATTAATTACTTTAAAGAAATAAATATTCGCTTGGACATAATTACGCCGAGGCAGTCGAAGGTCTGATGAGTGACCATAGAATAGTCCGCTACAGAAACGAGCAACTCATTAATGTTTGGAAGTACATGAAGCAGTTCACTGTTTGGAACATGTGTATCGCGCTGATTAAAACCAAGAAACAATGACGTAGAAAGAATAATAATAATAATAATAATAATCACCATCATAGTCTGACTATGCTGGACACTGGTCCTCACCCACCCAGGAGTAAGTGAAGCGCAATACAGATGCTAGGCATCCAAGAGCCTCTCCTTGCTCAAGACCGTCCGTGCGTGGTGAAGAGCCACATCCGACTAGAGGTGACCCTGTTATATAACAGAACACGGCGGATCTAGAGGAGTAAACCTCGATAAATAATCCCTTAGTTCAAAGTGTGGACAACCGTGCAGCTACTACCGAAGAATGGAAAGACAAAGATCT